TCAAGCAAGTCTCCACAGCTTGGAGCTGGTCTGGCCGACCCTGGCTCCTGGGGAAAGATCAACCCCTCCCCCCCCCCCCCGCCCCCAAGCTTGGAACCCTTTTCTCTCAATTCTTGGTTTCTCTGCTTCTACCTGTCCATCTATCTCAGGCTTCCCATCTTCCTGGCCATCTGCGTGGAGTCCAGGTTCTCTGCTCTGCCTCCCCCAGGGTTTTCCCTGGCCCCTGCTGCTCCCTACTCCCCGTGCTCCCAAAACTCAACGTCACCATGGCCTCGTGGACCACAATCGTCCCTGCGGGTGTCATTGACCCACACACCGGACCGTTTGCTCCCTCCCACAGCCCTGAAGCCTCATCTCTGTAACCTAACACAGCTCCGCCGTCTAAATGCCCAGCCAGCACCCTGCAGGGATCCTGGATTTATTCCTGTGTCGTAGCCCAGATACAGGACTCTCGACACGTTGTAGAACAGCAATGTCACGCTTTGATCCACCCTGCAAGCCCATGCTCACCTTCCATCAGGCTAACATCCTTTGTCACACATAGTCACCACACTTGTTTGTCTGTATTCCGAGATGAGATGTTGAAGATCTACTCTCTTCGCAGCTGTCAAATAACTGGAATGACTGACCGATTCCTTTTGTATGGCATTTGTACCTATTAGTCAACTGTCCCCTGTGCGCTCTGAATGCATTTAGAATCGGCCTCTCTCCTACTTTTTGTCTTAACCCCCGCAATAGCCTTTTTATTCCTTACATGGGATGTACTTTATAGACTAGTTTGTAGTTGGGACCAGAATTTCATTTTATTTTATTTGATTTCTTTGAAAAACAGTAACAACAAGCCTCACAATGGAGACGTTACTGGTGCCCGCTCGGACAAATGGATGAACAATGGGAGGACAGTGCTACAGTGCTACAGTTATGTAAATAAAGATAAATAAAACATTATCTGATTTTATTTCTTCTTTTCTTCGTTTTCTCCAAAATTTCCTTTTTTTTTTCTTTTATTCTTTTTTTTTCTAATTTTTAGGCCTTACCCCTCTGTGCCTACAGTTTATGCCTGACTATGTTCTCAGGGGTTACTCCTGGCAGGGTTTGGGGGTTCATATGTGGTACCTGGAATCAAAACCGGTTTGGCTGCATGCAAGTCAAGAGTCCTACCCGCTGTAATTTCTCTCCAGTCCCAATTTTATTTTTTTCTCACTGTTTTATTATATTTTTTGGCCACACACAGCCATGCTCAGGATTTACTCCTGGCTCTGTGCTCGAGGATCACTCCTCGGGTTGTTTGGGGAATCACAGGGAGTTCCGGGGATTGAACCTATGTCAATCGCATGCAAGGCAAGTGCTCTCACTAATGTGCTAAAGTACTGTCCTCTCTCAGAATTTTGATCTAAGCTTAAAACAATCTTGTTGAACTTCTCTACGTAAATTCTTTTCTGCTTAAGAAAAAAAAGATCATCAATATGTGCATGAAAATATCTTTCAAAGGATATGCATTCTGGCTCCGGTATGTGGGTATCAGGATTATTTCTCCAAACCGCATGGTGCCACTGAAACTGGGCAGCTTATTCCAGGTTCCCAGTCTGCCCCTGATGCTGGAAGTCATGCCCTCAACCCACCCACAGCGCCATCTTGGCACACAGTAGTGAAGAGTTCCGGCAGGTACAACAACACCAGAGAATTCTCCAGGCCCCATACCAGGCCGACATCACTGGGATGCCCCAGATGGAGCAGGTGCAGTCTCCCTGCCTTCTCCAGAAGGAATCCAGAGACCATGTGCTTCTTTAAGCATGGCTCCGGTATGTGGGTTGCAGGACTAATTCCTTGAAGCCACATATGCGGCTGTGCAACGTTTCTTGTTATGCAAAGTGAGAAATGGAAAATAAATGATCTATTGTTTGCCTCTGGAAGGCAGACTTAAATGGTGGTGGGACTATCCAAGAAAAATATAATGCCCCAATCTAGAGAGAGAGTATTTGAGCTCTTGTCTGTCATAGAGGCAGGATAAGGACCTGGATGGAAATGGAGAGGATAATGGGGATATTGGTGGTGGAAACTTGCACTGGTGGAGGAATGAGTGATCGATCATTGTATAGCGGAATATCAAACATAAAACCTTTGTAACTGTATCTTATGGTGGCTCAATAAAAAATAAAAGAATTGTAAAAAAGGCTATGCATTCATCAGCTTCTTTGTATAATTCCGGAAGTCTTATTTATATATTTTAAGCTATAATAAAGCTACATACGTTCAGAGTTGTTCTATTTTTTTCCAGCAAACTACCATCTACCAAGATGCTAATGATGCCAACATTCATTGACCCTTTGTGTGATGATAAAGCTTTGGACAAGGCTGAAAAGATAGTACAGAGGGGAAGGCACTTGACTTGCATGTGACCAACCTGGGTTCAATCCCAGCATCCCATATGGTCCCTGAGTACCGCCAGGAGTAATTCCTGATGCAGAGTCAGGAGTAAACCTTGAGCATCACTGGACGTGACCCATAAATCCAAAAAGTTATTAAAAACAAAGAAGGTTTGAGCCTTGATGTTGTTTTAGTAATTTTGACCTTCCAGATCACAATTTCCCTATAATCTCTTTCACCTCAGGATATATCGTTCCTGAGGGGCAGAGCTTTCAAATAAACAATAGTCCACCTTCACTGAACTCCACTGCACCCTGGTGACTCTGGCTGTGGGTGAAATGACCAAAAGAAGAGGTCCTGGAAGGAGCCTCTGCATTCAGTGTCTGGGTCCCCCCAAGACCCATATCAGCCACTTTATAATCAAACAGTATTGAATGATGCATAACTCAGGGACTGACTCATGGCAATGGGGCGCTCATTGACTTACGTGGGGTGTCTTCATGCCCACACTACAGAGCTGCTCCGTGCTCGAGAGCCTCAGGGGTGTTCAGATATTCACCTTGTCAGCTATTCAACCATCAGCTAGGATGGTTGTAATCAATCAATTAATTAGTCTCCATTTAATAATCAGGGTGTAGTCTAATCAATCATTGAGGATGGACCCTGCCCAACCACTCAGGATGGACCCTAACCAATTCGTCCACTGGGTAGCAGGCCTTGACGACTGACCCTTGACAGTAGTAGAAGCTGCTGCCTAGGCACCTTTGACTGCTGAATCACAGCCAGACAGGAAAAGGACAATCCTGCTCCCTTTTCTTGCCATGCCTCTGGCTGTGTGTCCCCTTTCACCTTCCAGAACTTTCCCCCTGGGTATCTCTACCTCTCGTGAGCCTGGCCCTCCTACTGCAGTGTCTGTCCCACCCACCCAGGGCTGAGCACCGTGCCGTAGCTGCCATTCCTCACTGTCAGGTGCAGCAGGGCTGGTTTCTGCCCCTCATGTCCCCACAGGTCTCAGTCCCATCCTGAGATCCCTCTGTCCCACTCTGTCTCCTAATAAAGACAGTGATTCACAAGTTCACTGGGGGGGTCCTGGGTGAATGGGGAGGCAACAGCAAGTCAGGGGCCCCCAGGAAATCTGTTTCTGGGAACCCCATTCAATCCTCAGTGGACTATTAATGGATGAGCTGCCGCATATATAAACGCACTTGGGGGCCAGGGGCCATTCCAAGTTGAGTTAGGGGACGCCTAAATTCTAGATGGAAGCGTGATCCTGCAGACCCCCCAGGAAGTGGCTGTATTTGAAGGCAGAACCTTTCAAAGGGGAGCATTTAAATTGGCCCATAGGCTGGACCCTTGTCTGCGAGGAACCAAGGGCTAATAAACAGAGGTCAAGAAGATGGACATTTGCTCATTGGACCTATAATCCTGAACGCTGGTACCCCGGGGCTGCAATGGCCTTATCTTTGCCCCTCCACCTGGAGAGAGCACATTGCAAAGATATCTGCTGATAAACAAGGTCCTGGGATGTGTAAGGGAGGTGTCTCAATGCATGAAGAGAGTCACGATCTGACCCGAGATATTGTTCCTCTCCTAATGATGACTGTTAAGCAATGTTGCAACATGGACGACGGTTTGGGCTAGTCCAGGAGGCTGAGCCCTGACCTGGACACCATGCGTTTTCTCTTTTATTCTCTCTCTCTCTCTCTCTCTCTCTCTCTCTCTCTCTCTCTCTCTCTCTCTCTCCTCTCTCTCTCTCACACACACACACACATATATACACACATTTTTTTTTTGTCTTTGGGGCATACTTGGAGGTGCTCAGGGCTTACTCCTGGTTCTGTGCTTAGGGATCACTCCTGGCAAGACCAAACGGAGTTGGCAGCCTGCAAGGCCAGCGCCCTCTGCTGGCCTGTTTCTCAGTCACTATTTTTTATTGTTTTTCTTTTTGGGTCACAGGGGTTTCTCCTGGCTTTGCACTCAGGAATTAGTCTTGGCGGTGCTTGGGGGATCATATGGGATGCTGGGAATTTAACCCAGGTCAGCTTCATTCAAAGCAAGCAACCTATCCACTGTACTATCACTCCAGCCCAGTCCCTATTTGTTTTTCTTTCTTTTTTTTTTGTACAATGTAGGAGTATTGGTATTTATTCAGTCATTGATTAAGCTGATTGAATTGGGCATGAACTTCACATTACTTTTTCTTTTTTATTCAGAATATTATTTTTATTTTTATTGTTTTATTATCATTCCCCCCACCCCTGTTTTTTGATTCACTGTGAGATACAGTTACAAAGCTTTCATATTTGAGCTTCAATCATACCATCATCAAACACCTATTCCTTCACCAGTGTACATTTTCCACCACCAAAATCCTCAGTATTCCCCCACCCCCATCCCCGTTCCCAGCCTACCCCTGCTATTTGGCAGACAATTTCCCCCCTACTCTCTTCACTTTGGTTACATTCAATATTTCGACAGCAGTCTCACCACCACTCAAACCTGCCAAAAGGGCAATGCTAGATGACTTGTTCTGTATTGTTTGTTATGGATTGAGTATAATGCCCAGGGAGTATAAAGCTTCCGGGACAGCTGCTGCGCATTTTCTTCTGTGTGCCCACAATCCACACCTCTCTGCCACATGAACCCCAACTGCTCCGGCTGCGCTGGTAAGCGACCCCATCTCTGGCTCCAGGATGCCCCTTCTCCAAGCGCTCCTGGGAACCTGGCTCAGGCGGACCCTAAGCTGACGCTCCAGCAACTCACAGAGCCTCTCCTTCCTGGGTGCTCTCCGTTCCACCAAGGGTGGTGAGGCTGCAGGTGGGGTGTGCCGGTCGGGTCGCGGGGATGGAAGAGGCGGCCCTCAGCCCGTTCCCGCTCTCTTCCAGGCAGCACCTGCACCTGCACGGACTCCTGCAAGTGCAAAGACTGCGAATGCGGCTCCTGCAAGAAGAGTGAGTTTGGTTCCCGGATTGGGGGCGCCAGGTGAGGTGCAGGGGGGTTCCCGGTGGGCGCGTGCGTGGTTCTGTGGGAAGGGGTGTCCAGTGGGGTCTGGGCTGATGTCCCTCTGTCCTCTTGTCCCCAGGCTGCTGCTCCTGCTGCCCCACAGGCTGTGCCAAGTGTGTTCAGGGCTGTGTGTGCAAAGGGGCGTCGTCGGACAAGTGCAGCTGCTGCACCTGAGATGGGGGGCGAGAAGGGGCCCCTGATGTAAATAGAACATTCATGTGTGCCCCCCCTTCTTGGATGCCCTCTTTTTACTATGAGCTATGTGAATGACAATAAAAGACGTTGAATGGATTGTGGTTCAGGGTCTGGTCTGTGCCTGGGAATAAGAGAGCTCGTGCCCACTGGATGGGTGAGGGGTGCTCTGGAAGGGCAGATCTGGGGCCTGAATACATGTTGGTTCCTAGCAAAGGGGCCTCAGGGACACAGTGGCCTCAGGTTGTCAATTAAATTGATAGTACCAGGAACTCTACATGCCGTGGGATCAGGGTCCCTGTATTACCTGGTTACTGCCTATGGCTGTGAACAGACTCAAATTCTCCTCTCTGGTTGCCTACCAGTTTGGATCCCGGGAGATGCTGGTCCCACAGTTGTAGTGGGAGTGGAGTCTGCGTCCTGTGTGTTCACTCTACACAGCCCTAATCTCTAAAATGTCACAGAATGACCTAATTTTCATAACTCACGCGTGTGAGATTTGGTGAAGCCAAAATGATGAAAATAGTTTCAGGAGCAATAATATAAGAATCGTGTGGTCGATGAGGACAATCTGGCAGGCTACCGAATGTAAACTGCCCACAAGGCAGAGTCTGGCAAGCTCCAGTGGCATACCCAATATGCCAAATACCAGTAACAATGATGGGTCTCATTCTCCTTACCCTGAAAGAGCCTTGAATGTCACACTTTTTAGAATCTCAGGACTAGGACGAAGGAGACATCACTGGTGCCAGCTCGAGGCAATCAATGAACAACAGGATGATCCTGATCGTGATAATGTCCAGGAAATTCTGTGTCATTCTCTTCCACAAGTTTTAGTCTCTGGGTCTTGGCAGTTGATGAGATTACATGGCGTCGGGGGTGGTTTGTGGATGTGACTGGAAAGCTTCTGGAAAACTGGGGAGCTGGGAGGAGGAGGCCCAGTCCCAATCTGAGCAGTCTTGGAGATCTCAGTCACAGGCTCCCGCGTACCTGGGTTTTCCTGCCTGTCCACTCTCCAGTGAGGTTCATCCTGTCTTGAGTGAGGTTTGTCCCCTCTTGGGAGAGGTCATCCGAGAATTTGGAGAGTGGCCTTGTGCATGGCGGCAGTTGGGTTCTGGAGGTTTTTGGCTGCCAGGGTTCTCTTTGGGATGGGGAGGGAGACTCAACCCACCCCCCTCCGAGGTGCCCCGATGAATATAAAGGCAGGATATTCTGTGTCGCTCACTTCCAAGAGCTTTAGTTTATCATCTCTGGGTCTTGGCCATTGATGAGATTACATGGCGCTGGAGGCAGTTTGTGGGTGTGACTGCCAAGCTACTGGAAAACTAGGGACCTGAGGAGAGGAGGCCAGTCCATAACCAAGCAGGTCTGGAGATCTCAGTCACGGGTTCCCAACTCCCTCTGCGCTACAGGCCTTAATTGCATCTTTTTTTTTTTATCTCTTTCGAGATTTGTGGGTTTCTGTAATAAGGCCAATAAGTGTGCTTATATAGCTGAGCTGGAGGTGGTTTGTGGGTGTGTCTCCCACATACTTAAATTTTGGCCGTTTCATTTCTTGGCCGAAAGTTATTGGGGTCTGGCCAAAGGTACAGCAGCAATTTGGGGGTATCTGGAAGTCTGAAGGTACCATCAGGCTACTGATTCACTCGCCCCGCAGCTATAGGTTGACCTGCTGGTGGCATTATCCCCCCACCAGTCCCTATTTCTTAACTCTCACAGTGGCCCAGCTCAGCCCTGTTCACCCAGATACCACCCCATCCCCATGCATGTGTAAATCAGTGTCTTTCTTAGAAGACAGAGTCGGACAGAGGGATCCCAGGATGGGTCTGAGACCTGTGGGAACATGAGGGGCAGAAGCCAGCCCTGCTGCACCTGACGCTGGACTTAAAAATGACAGAAATAATGTAAAGAAGCCTTCCCAGCCAGCCCCCCAGTTATACATCCCAATAGGATAGTGGGGAGACCCCGGGTTCAACACTGACCCCCACCCCAGTGACCCCCAGTGCTTCCACATTCACCCCTACACCAAAAGAGAAAAAGGTCCCCAGAGTCCAGGCAAGATCGCACAGGGCTGCAGGGTTGGTCTGGTGCACGGGGCCCAGCTACTGCCAGGGGTGGCCCAGAACCCCAAGGAACCCTCAAAAGAAAAATCAAATGCAAAGAAAGGGGGCAGGAGAGATAGGACAGCAGGTAGTACACTGGCCTTGCACTCGGCTGACTCAGGTTCAATCCCCGGCATCCCATGGGGTCCTGGGCACCACCAGGAGATATTCCTGAATGCAGAGCCAGGAGTCAGCCCTGAACATCACCAGGTATACACACATCTCACCCAGCCTCGCACAAAAAAGGCAAAAACAGAGGCCCCAACCCCTGAGGAGGTGTCGGAGGCCTGTGCCAGGCATGTGTCCAGCCCCCCACACCCACACTGCTCTCCTCCCCGGTGCCCCCACCCCCCAGCTTCCCAGACTGCGGAACCGAGGCTGAAGCCCGTGAGGGTCTGGTGGAATAACACGGGAGCACTGCTTGCCTGAGACGCCGTTGATCCCATCCTGTGGTGGCCACGAGAGCCACCGGAAGTGACCCCCAATAACTCAGCAGAGCAGCATCTGAGCTACCACCTGTGGCCCAGACCCACCACAGGTCAATGAGGCAGTGGCGATGTGTTTGCACTGTGGCTGGAGAGCACAGGGTAGAGGCAGAGTTAGAGCTGCGACAGGAGACCCCCAGGGGTGCAGCGGGGGCTCTGGCCTCAGGCAAGCCCTGCTTGTGCTCTAAGAACAAGGGTCTCTTCTGTGCACACCTGTCATGTCTCAGGGTGTAGGACTGCCCAGTGCCGGGAGATGGCATTAACATGTGAGGATGGGTTGGCCCTGGTTAGGACCTGGGGTTGCTGTGACTGGAATGTGGGGGTGGAAGCACCTGGGAACGACTCAGGAGCCCCAGGGCTGTCCCTGCAGTGGTCTAGCTCCATGGCCAGGCCCCCGGGGGAGTGCTGTTGGTGGCCAGCCTGGCAGAGGTGGCTGTGAAGGGCAGGGCTGAGTCTGGAGCCTGCTGTGCTCCCTCTGCTCAGTCCCAATCCTGGAGTCCCTTGAGGCGGTCCCATCCATGAGCCGCCCTCCCCCACTGTGGACACACTTCCTCTGCATTTGTCCCCCCCGCCCTTTCTTGTGATCCTTTGCTTATTTTGTTGTTGGATTTGGGGGTCATACCCAACGTGGCCCAGTGTCTGCTCCTGGCTGTGCTCAGGGGAACACTGCAGGGTTAGCCATGTGCAAACCCACTGCCTCAACTCCAGGGCTGTCTCTCTGCCCCCCCTCCCCCACACTGTTTTTGTGCGTGTTTGGGTGTTTTTTTTAAATTTTTATTAGTGAGACATCATGAGGTACAGTTGTAGACTTACAAATTTTTGTGCTTGGGTTTCAATTATACAATGATCAAATACACATTCCTCCACCAGTGCCCATTTCTCACCACCACGAACCCCAGTATCTCTCCCACCCCCCATTCCCCCCATCCTACCCTGCCTCTGTGGCAGGGCATTCCCTTTTGTTCTCTCTCTCTTATTGGGTGTTGTGGTTTGCAAAAAAGGCATTTACTCCATGGCTTGGATGCCAACCACACATGCTAGGGGAAAAGGGAGCTCAGATAGAGAAGGGAGCACCAAATAAAGGGTGTTGGGAGGATCCTCCCAGGATGGGAGAAGCATGCTGAAAGTAGACTATAGGCGTGTTTGGGTTTTAACCATATCTAGTGTTCGGGGGTTTCTCTGGGCAGTGCTCATGGGACCATAAGGTACCAGGGAATGAACCCAGGGTTCCTGCATGTCAGGCCTGCATTCCAGCGTGCTGAGCCATCTCTCAGAACCCGCCCCCCAATCTTGACCTTAGCATATCCCCGCTCCTGGAGCTCACCCTGATGCTAGCTGACCTGCCCCCACCTGCAGCTCAGGCCCCGTGGTTCCTCCCACCCTCAGCCAGTTCTCTCTCCACAAGGTGCTGAGCTAATCAGGCTGATTACGGCTCAGGCGCAGTGCGGCTCTCCCTGCTCCCACACGCAGTAAATTTCCTCAGCTGCCAGCCCACTCCCTGTGGGCCTCTTGGCCAAGCAGCCAAAAGCCACAGGCTGATGCTGTCTCATCGCTGATGAATCAGGCCTGCGCGGCCAGTACAAAACCCCACAGTATGCGGCAGCAGAGTGCTGTGTCCTGGCGCCCCCATACCGGTGGCTTGTGGCGTTCTCTGGGCCCAGCCTTAGTCGCTGACCTGCGACCAGGCCACAGCCTCAGAAACCATGTTCTTCTGACCACAGCCTGCGAAAGGGCCTCAGACTTCCAGCCTCTCTGTTCTGAAAAGGTGTCCTGAAGAGGTGGAGGAGCACGAAGAGGAAGAAAGGAGGGAAATCAGATCAGATCAGGAAACCCAGAGACCCCCAGGGACAGAGAAAGAGGCCTGCTGGCTGTTCCTTCACTCGTGATCTGGAATATTCCAGAGAGGAAGTGGCGTTGGCAGGGAAAGGGGCAACCTGAACCCCAGGTAGTGGAGGGACAACATTTTGTGAGTTGTTTGTTTGGGGGCCACACCTGGCAATGCTCAGGGGTTACCCCTAACTCTGCACTCAGGAATTACTCCTGGCGGGCTCAGGGACACTATGGGATGCTGGGGATGGAACATGAGTTGGCTGCAAGCAAGGCAAATGCCCTCCCCAATACACTATTGCTCTGGCACCAAGAATTTTGATAAGAGGTGTTTTTAATCTCGAGAATGGTAATTTTTGGGCAGTTTCTCTCAGACATGGCTAAGGAACCGACCCAAACAAGCAAAAATCTTGCCTAGATGTGGTGGGAATTGGGATGATTCCCTCAGGGAACAGGATGGGCAGGAAAGGACTGTGGGGATGGTCTGTTTGGGGGTGGGATGTGCTGGGACTTTGGGGTGGGTGTGACTCCTATACACACAAGTCATGAGATGCGCTACTCCTGAATTTCCACAGTGCTGTAAGATTTTTTAAAAAGAGAAAAATCTTTCAAATAAAGGGGCTGGAGCAGTTTGCTTTG